TACCTGGCCACAGAAGTGAAATACCCACTCAAAATACAACCTTTCAGACATGGCAGCCTGTAGCCCTTGGTAGGCCAAGGCTCTGAGGAGTTTTCTGAGGCAGTGCAGAGCTGTAAGCTTCATGAAATATGGAGGAAACAGTCCAAAAATTTCTTCTGAATTTTACCATCTGCTCTCCCATTCCTGGCAAGACATCTCTTTCAGAGTTAAAAAACTGCTGCTTCCCCTGAGCTAAGGCCTTAAACTTACTATCACTGCCCCTTCTGAGTAGTTTGCATTCCAGGAGAACTAGGGTGGAGAAAACAGGACCCGCTAGAGCAGAGCAGAGCACTCCTGACTCTGCCCTCCTTTGTACATCGTGAGCAGGCATTATAAAGCTGGGGACACACTTCCTATCACACAGTTGGTATCACAGACCTTCACTAGCAAAAAATAAATTTTTTTAACAATATCAAATCTAAAATTTTTTTAAAATAAAATTTATTTTGTAAAAAATAAAGTTCTCTGCTTGTGTAAAGCACTACCAGTTGAGATCATCTGAGCTCATGGACTGGTGGAGTTAGTTGTACTTATATATGGGTTATGTTTGGCTGCTGTCTATAGGCGACATCTCCCTGTGACCATACAGCATGGTTTCTTCTGCATCTGTGGATTTTTGAGAAAGGAAATAGATGAAGAAGTGGGCAAGGGAAGCTATTTATTGCTGCTATTTATAATCTCCAAGGCCTATTTAACCTGCAATTTTCCGTCTTTCTAAAAGATACTTTCCTGCAACCTTGGCTCTTTGTTCTGATGCACAATTTTACTGCTGCTATTAGAATGCACAATTTAAAAAATCTCCTCTGGGAAGAGAGGCCAGTTAAACCTCTACAAGCCATCAGACTGATTACAGAATAACAAATGGCCTCTTTATAAGAGTTCTGGGTTTAGTAGCAAAATCTGCACATTATTTTTCATTGTCTTATTCTTAATTTTCTAGGAAGTTCCTCTGATTTCTTTGGAAATGCCCTGAGTTTAAGACTCATGGAGACTAGAAATCAGGCCAGATTTTATGCCTATAAATTTCCTATACTGTTATGAATGGTTCCAGAAAACAAAAAAATAAAACCACTGATAATTAATACTTCTGTTAATAGACCAAAGCTTCAATCCCAGACCAAAGGTGGTGGAAAGTAGGTCATGTCTACTCCAGTGACTTTGCAGTAGTCCCTTTGATTAATTATAAAGTTGTATTCACTGGTGTTTGCACTGAATATTGTGCAAATACAGCTATACTGTCAGAGAATGGATTGGAACAGTGGAAGGAACAGCTACCACGTCTCTTTTGGGAAGGAACCTGGAAAAAAATGAAAAGCTGTTTCTGGCTCCTCAGCTTCCATCATCCACTTGCGGCAGTCAGGCTTTCTGGGTTCTGGATGTCATGTTGCTTACCTGGGTTAAAGTACTCTGTATATAAATGACATAAGAACAAGTTTTTTGATCAGTCTAGACAACTCTGTATCCACAGAGTTGCCATAAGGAATATCAGTATCAAGGAATTGATTTATTGTCTAAGCACTTTTGGTTAAGGAGGGAATCAGGATGGTTTCAAAGAAATGAAAGACCCATAGTTGTTTAGATCTTAGATACTGATTCTTATGATGGTGAAGCTGTAGTCAGAGTAGAAAGACCCAAACTCTGTTGTGCTGGGCACAGTGCAAGGATCAAGGCTCTTCTTGTCCAGAACAGCTTTCAAACAGTGAGCTTAGGAATACTGATCTGATGTGAAAATTATTTGCTTATGGCTGTATGTAAAAAGTCTTTGAACTATAGCATTTTTACTAGAACTGCTCAAGGGAAGACTAGTGGTACAATTAATAGCCCATATAGGATGGTTCTGTAGGGACGGATGTTTTGGAGCAACAGGCTTCTACCAATTGCATGTAACACTTTCTTCCAGAGAAATGGACACATGAATATGCTTTAAAGAGATTAATGGATGTTATAAAAGTTGTGTGCTGCTGCACTTTAAACTAATGACTTCACAACCTCCATTTGGAATCCTGATGGCATACAGCAGCTAATTCTTTTGATGTATAGAATAGATGTAGGGCTCTGTGGATTTCTTCATGTTGTGATGGGAACTGAATATTTTACAAAATGCAGTGGGACTACAAGGCTTTTCTGATAGCTGTTAGATTGAACAGGTGGACTGTGTCTATCTTCCATAGCTGGTTGCTTTTTGGGATGGGAGTGAAGCAGGCTTTGGGATTCTTGTGATTGGATTAAGAACACTTTGGCAATATTTTCAGCCTTAAGAAGTGTTCTAGGATTACTCTTTCTTTAGCCCATCTGTCTGCAGTGTACTTTTTCTATTCCATAGAAAATAACTCAGCTGTCTTCTCAGCACAGTCCTTGCTGGTCAATGACTGCATGTGTTTGGTTGCAGTAACTTTCTGCCTGTTTCCTTATTTATCAGTAGACATCAGAATTTATAAGGTGTCAAGAAAACTGGCTGTATTTCGATAGCTTGCACAAGGAGTGTTGCAGCAGTATCTCTGCCCTCTTCAGTATTATATACGATAATGCAACTTTTCCTTCTGACCACTGTCCTGCGCTTGTCCAGCCCCGAGTAGCGGAGAAAGGATGTCACCAGACAGTTACAGGGGTGGCTGTCCGCCAAGGTGCAAGACCTTGTGGGAGGAGTGGGGCTGGAGGAAATGCCCAAGCTGCACATGAAGCCCAGGTGTGAACATTTTTTTTGGGGGGGACGCACGGTCAGGGGGGTGCTCCCTGGCTGTTGTGGCCATCTCCCTGTGGCCACAGCGGAGGGGCGCCTAACCTCGGCTCGCACGGGAGCGGACCGAGCACCGGCGGAGGGAGAGGGCTGTGCTGGACATCCTGCCTGCGGGCTCTGCGAAGAGGCGCAGCCTGCGGCCCCGCCATGCTCGTAGGAAGAACAATGTCGGGGCAGGGCTCTCCGCAAGGTCGTTCCCCTGCCGTCACCCTCCCGGCAGGACAGCTCCGACCCGCTGTCGGGTTATACCGCCCACATCTTACCGCGGCGGCGGCCGTCTCGCGAGGCGCCCGGCCCGCGCCCCGATGGCAGCGCCCGCCCGGCGGCCGCACCGCCGGCGAGGGAGCCGCG